AATGTTCACTTCATTTGGGTGGTCCAATATTGCGAATTCTCAGAATTTGCTGAAACTTGGCCCAAACGCGGTTACTTGACATGATAATTACGAATATGTGCCTAACAATGGCGTACCGAGGGGGGGCAGGGGGGGGGGCGCCCCCCCCCCCCCGAGAACGGGTGCGAAATTTTTGAAAGCTACTTACATGAGTTATAAAAATGTGCAAGTGACTTGTTTATTTTTGTAAACAATTAAAATAATTTTTAAAATTTTTCAAAAATTCAAATCTTATATATAAAGCTGAATGTCTGTTTGTCTGTATGTCTGTCTGTATGTCTGTATGTCTGTACGTATGTTCCGAATAGAAAATTCCATTTCTGAACCGATCCGGACCAAACTTGGCACACATACACTTCGGGCCCCGGCGCGTGTCATAGGCTACTTTTCGTCATCGATCGATATCGATTTTATCGATTTTTATCGATTTTTTTGCTGGTTCACCTACGGGGCTGGGAGTTGGCACAGGGGGGTAATCGAGCATGGGGATTCCGAATACAATATTGGTTTTCAGGATTATCGATTACTTTTATCGATTTTATCGATTTTTTTTGCAAAGTTTGAGCTACGGGGCTGGGAGTTGGCACAGGGGGGTAATCGAGCATGGGGATTCCGAATACAATATTGGTTTTCAGGATTATCGATTACTTTTATCGATTTTATCGATTTTTTTGCAAAGTTTGAGCTACGGGGCTGGGAGTTGGCACAGGGGGGTAATCGAGCATGGGGATTCCGAATACAATATTGGTTTTCAGGATTATCGATTACTTTTATCGATTTTATCGATTTTTTTGCAAAGTTTGAGCTACGGGGCTGGGAGTTCGCACAGGGGGGTAATCGAGCATGGGGATTCCGAATACAATATTGGTTTTCGGGATTATCGATTACTTTTATCGATTTTATCGATTTTTTGCAAAGTTTGAGCTAGGGGGCTGGGAGTTGGCACAGGGGGGTAATCGAGCATGCTGATCACCCCCCTTGGGGATGATCAGCATGCTCGATTACCCCCCTGTGCCAAATTCCAGCCCCTAGCTCAAATTTTCAAAAAATCGATAAAATCGATAAAAGTAATGGCCGATCTTGAAAACTAATATTGTATTCGTAATCTGCATGCTCGATTACCCCCCTGTGCAAACTCCCAGCCCCGCAGGTCAAACTTTACAAAAAAAAGTCGATAAAATCGATAAAAGTAATGGACGATCCTGAAAACTAATATTGCGTTCGTAATCAGCATGCTCGATTACCCCCTGTGCAAAATCCCAGCCTCGCATGTCAAAATTTACAAAAAATCGATAAAATCAATAAAAGTAATCGATAATTCTGGAAACTAATATTGCATTCGGAATCCCCATGCTCACTTCCCCCCCTGTGCCAACTCCTAGCCCTGTAGGTGAACTCTGCAAAAAAATCGATAAAAATCGGTAAAATCGACATCGATCGATAACGAAAAGTGGACTGTGACACCCGCCGGGGCCCGAATTGTATGTGTGCCAAGTTTGGTCCGGATACGGCGGAGCCGGGTAAGCCAGCTAGTTAGCCTTATAAAAAAATTTTCTCGGGGGCGTGGCTGACGCCACGCACCTTCATTTGAAAAAAATTTTTGCCGCTCACCCCCGAGCCGAAATCCTGGGTAGCCACTGGTGCCCAATTATGCATGGTAGAGCCTTTCTTTTACCGAAGAGAAGATGAGCGGGGGGTTGGGAAGGGATCGTATCCGGCTCTTGTGCCACACGCTCTTGCTCAACCCTGGGTCACCCCTTGCAATGATCCATTTTATTTTTATTTTTTATTTGCCCTCAGAAGGTGGGAGTTTTTGCTGAGGGTAAATGAGCATGCTGATTACGAAAACATGGCGAGCAGGGAATTAACGCATTCATAAAAGTGGGGCAGGACAATTAAGTTGGTTTAGAGATGATGATGATCTTATCAGAGTGTGTTGACTGGGCCGCACGGAGTCGGGTATGCCAGGCCACTCTGGAATTCTGTTGTCTTAAAAACGGATCTCTACTCCAGAATAATTCTACTAACCTCCATTTTGTGTATACATATACTAAAAGACACACTTATGTACACAGTTGCTGTGTTCGTTCATATGCTAAATTTCAACAAAAATAGAACATCTTTTGTAACTGTCTTTCTTGATGATTTTTCGTGGTAATAGTTTTTGACGACTGGAATGCATACAGACTTTTGGGTTGGTGATCATCTTAGTTCACTTTGTCTATAGATTAGTGTTCCATGTTTTTGTAACCTAGTGTATTGATTCATTCCAAAAGAGATATCCCTATTTTAAACGAGCATCATATCCCCGAGAACGGAGAACATCAAGATTTTATCACCTATATCTTTTCCAAACGGCGGTTATGCTTCCTAATGCAAACAATGAGTTCTTTGAGAGATTACCACAGACCTCGACTCTGATTTGTTATGACTAAGTTCCGCAGATTCTCTAATCCCTCCCAAGCCGTCTCAAAGAAGCACATGTGACAAATGGATAGGAAAAATAGGTTGGAATCTCGTGAATTTCTTACAGTTTTTTCACTTCCTCTAATTTTGAGGCTTTAATACTTGATTAATTGAATCCTGAATATGAAATGAAGACTGTTTTTGCTTTTATAGAAGTGTAATTTTTGATGTAACGGATGCAAGTGCGGGTGCGGGTGTCAAAACAACAAAGCTTTTTTCGACAAAAAACGCTTTTATAACCTTAGAACAACCTCAGCTGGCTTTACAATATTTTCCTGAAATATATTTTGGAGAATACCAGAATAAACCGAACTTTTTAAAAGAGATAGAAGAACCAATATGATTTCTTTCGATGCAGCTCTTTTGATTTGAAACGCAATTTCTGCCTCCGCATGAGGGCATCACTGATGAATTTATTATAAAGTGAGTCGAGAATTTGGAATACAGGGTGTCCCAAAAAAATGTGCCTACTGTTTGATTGTAAATAACTCTCTTGTCACGAAGTGTTTCGAGAAGCTTTAGGTACCATTTTGTAGGGCGAGGTTGAACTTAGATTTGCAGTATGGAGCGAATCAACTCTCGCTCTTTATTACTGTAGGATTACGGTACGAACTTTGACAAGGATTTTAGGCCATTGAAGGCTATATTCTGCCTCGAATCAAAACCAAACAAGCCAAAAACTCCTAGACTACGGTAATGAGAACTGCTGATTCCGAATTCAAAATTCCCATTCTACTATGATGCTTCTTTCCAAAGTTATCCCCGGTAAATCGTAATAACTCAGTTCCCAGCATTTGTCAGAAATGCGATTACACCGTCAAAAAAGCTGAAAATACTTGTAAAAAGTTGTTACTTGGAATCAGCATGCGCGAAAACCCTGACACACGATTTTTCAGATTTTTTTGAAAAAAAAAATTTTTAGGTGGTATATTTCACATGTTTCCATATGCTGGAAGTTCTTACCGTAATCCTACAGTAATGAAGAGCGATCGATGATTCGCTCTGTGCTGTAAATCTAAGTTTAACCTCGCTCTACAAAACGGTGCCGAAAGTTTCTCGAAACACTCTATTACAAGAGAGTTATTTCCAATCAAACAGTAGGCACATTTTTTTGGGACACCCTGTATTAGGTCGTTCCGAAAGTAATGTCACTTTTTTCAAATGAACGGCACATTCCGTAGAATCAAGATTTCCAAGTGTTCTTAGGAGCCTTCGATGCAGCACTTCATCCTCTTTCTAATGGTTATAATTTCGTTGCAGAATACTCAATGAGCTTTCAAAAAAATTACCAAAATCTGCGACCCATGCTTTTTGCCATGGTTGAATTCGGCTATTTTTCTAAATTTTTGTACGTAATCTCCGAAAAAGTATAAGTGACAGATGGACAGAACAAACCTTTTAGTAGAATAATTTCTTAGTTTGCTTCTTACAATTAGAGTTTCTGGAATCAATTTTTCGATACCATCAAATTCCATATTTGGTCAACTCAAACTCAAACCTCCAACAACTGGCAAGCAATGCGGGTGTCATTCGACGCAGCTTTTTCTCCTCTTTTTACTAGTTATTTTTTATTTCTGATTCAATTTATTAAGTTTTCCGTGATAAAATCATCATAATCCAGATTTTCCAGAGCACCCCAGGCTGTACACGGAATCTCCGAAAGTTGCTATTCTGAAGCGGTGAATGCTCATTTGGTTTGTAAAATACTGCAAACCATAACTCGCTTTGTAAGTTTCAAAATCCCAAGATTCATTGTCGTTTGAATTATTTTTGTCTGAAACGGGCCTGCTAAAATTCGGTAATTCCATCAAAAAATCTATACAAAAATTATGACGAGCTCTGGAAGGTCGAAAAAAGTTGTGCTGTTTCCTGTAGCGTTTGCTCTATCCAAACATTACTTGGGCTCCTTCCGAGCGCTGTTATATAAATTTATAAAAATTGTGAAACTTAGCCTTCTCAAAAAGCATGGGTGCAGATTACGATAGTTTTTCGAGAGTTTATTAGATTTTGTGCAATGTTTATATAACCATCAGAAAGAGAATGAAAGCTGCATCGAATGCTGTCAGAACCCTCCCCCCCCCCTTACACATCTTTGTAAAAGATGCGGTGTTTGAAAAAGTGACATTACTTTCGAAACGACCTAATACAATATTTCGAGATGGTTATTGCTACCGTGTTTTGTAAACTCAGTGAAGAACAATGATAAACTTTTGGAGCGTCCAATTAAGATTTTTGGAAGGTATGATCGAACGACTTTTACAACGGTGACGTTTGAAAAAAAATTATTCAAAAATATCGTCCAGTTTAAGACTTTTAAAAAATCGTTATAGCCTCTTCTCAGCCTTTTCACATATCACTATTCCGAAAGCCGGAAATAATTTTTGAAAATTAAAGTTAAAAATGGTAAAAAAAATTTCGACCATAGGGGGTATTTCAGCTATAAGAAAGGTTGCTCGCATCAGCCTTCAACATCCTTATATATGCGGAAATCATACCAGCGCACACTTTCCATTTCCGCGATCAGGACATCCCTTCGCCCAGGGTCCGAAATCAACTTCTGTACCGTCAGTCCAGGTCCATTTCTTGCTATTTGTTTTGAGGTGTAATCCTATCCAAGTAAAATCAGTGTAGGTTGAGGTTGGTTTATCCATTTTCGTCAACTCTGAAACACAAACAAAATCATGATGTCCCTCAATCTGATAGCAAGATAGCTTTACCGGCTATAAAATTATTTTCTTCATAGCTGTGGATTGAAGTCAAATGTCCTCTATACGTGCTGCAAATATATTCCGCACTGTCAAACGTCTTTCCAAAAAAGGTCTGTAAAGTCATTACATCAGCGAAAGTTAAACGAGATTCGGTAAGTACCAGGGTCGAGCAAGAGATGTGATACACGACCCCAGATACGACCCCCCCCCTCGCTTAAGTTCCGTCTCATGCCCCCCCCCCTTCAACGTTTTTGTTTGTTTTTGATAGACATGACATAAAGGCCCTATCGAGCATAATTAGTGATATGTTCGTAATTATCATGTCAAATAACCCCTGTGGACCAAGTTTCAGACAATTTTGAGGGTTATCAAAATTGAGCCACCGAAGTGAAGTGGCCATTTTCAAACATGGTCAACTATTAGGTCATTCCGAAAGTAATTTCGCTTTTTTCAAACGGGCGCCACACTTGATGGAACAAAGATTCCTAAGAGATCTTGGATGCATTCGATGCAGCATTTCATTCTCTTTCTAAGGGCTATGAAATTGTTGCAAAACAGTCGATGAGCTTTTAGAAAATAACCAAGAACTGCGACCCATGCTTTTTGAGATGGTCAATTTTCACGATTTTTTAAAACTTTTAAATCAATCCTCAGAAAAATTTCAAGTAACAATTCGATAGAGTAAACCTTATAGAATACAGTACCACTTTTTTCTCTTTTCCATAGCTTGTCATACATTTTTAACAGAATTTTAACTGATGCTACCGATTACTACACTTGAGCAGCTAAATCCTCGTAGAACATCAAAAGAAAGGCAGCTCGCGCACTATTCGATGCAGCATTTTCTCCTCTTTCTAATAGGCTTTTTTTTGTTCCCGATTCGTTTAGTTTCCGGGGAGAAATCATCATAACTCATTTTTTTAGCGAGCCCCAGGCTGTACCCGAAAAACTCGAAATTTAATATTTCGAACCCGTAATCCCTCATTTGCTTTGTAAAATTAATGCGAACTCATAGTACCATCTTGGTAGTCTCAAATTCCAAAAAATGATGTTTGATGCGATTGTGGCTGAGGTGGGTCTGCTAAAATCCCATAGTTCTGTTGAAAAATCTAAAAAAAATTATTACGGCGGGCTACGTGGAATAGAAAAATAAACAGTACTGTATTCTATAAGGTTTACTCTATCGAATCGTTACTTCAGCTCCTTCTGAGGATTGATATGAAAATTTTAAAAAATCCTGAAACTTGACCATCTCAAAAAGCATGGGTCGCAGATTTTGGTTATTTTCTAGAAGCTCATTGACTATGCTGCAATAATTTTATAAGCATTGGAAAGAGAACAAAATTCTGCATCGAATGCTTTCAAGATCTTTTAGAAACCTTTGTTCCATCACATGTGGCGTCCGTTTGAAAAAAGCGAAATTACTTTCGGAATGACCTAATATATTCCAAAGGAAAGTTAGCTACCTCTTTTTGTACTCAATGCAAAGCATTATCCCATTTTCGCCTAAACCATAAATCGTGCTCCAAATGAGCATCAACCTACAGAATTATGAGCCAATCAAAATTTCATTTGTCCCATTTTCAGCCCGCAGTGGTTGTGCTTCCAGCAACTATTACCTTATTTTCAGGTGTATAAGCCGCACCCTTTTTACTCTAAAGGCGCATACACCAAAAGACTGCCTGTCACAATGGGGCGCATCAAGTGAGAGCAATGTGCGAGAAAGCGACCGCTTCGCGAGGCACATGCGTAGCGGCACGCCTTGGTCTGCTCACGTTTAGAGCAAAAAGGGTGCGGCTTATACACCTGAAAATAGGGTACTTTAGTAAAAAAAAAGACGAATTCAGCTCTAATCCCTTTTACAAAAACTACGTGATTTTGCCTAAAGAACTGCATATAATTTGTTCCCTGATATTTTCTTTGAAAGTTAACGGGGTGTGGCAGAACCCTTGAACAGCTATGGCTGCCAAGCTAGTCAGGGGTTGTGCCACACCCATTATAGTCGTCCTCCCCCCACTAGACACCTAGTGGAGGAATTTGAATTTGAATCAGAGCACACCGGTTGCAGCGGAGCGCGCCACCTGCAGCCCTTACTTCAATCATAAACTGATTTCTTTGTGTTTTCCCGACGATTCATTGTACTTTTTGAATGTTAACAGTTTCTTTTTCAATCAGAATGGAAAACTTTGTTGCCTGTAAGCGAAATTTCATGTTGTTATGCTCGTTTCAATTCTGACTCCAGGTTGAGTTTGAAGAAACGACTAAGTTTGGAAAGTATGCTAGTGAAATCTTTTTCGGTAAGTGTCCTGAAGCTGCTCCATAGGACATCTTGTCCAAAAACTGTAACCTTACCTGAAAATGGGGCTGAAGAAATGAGCATAGAAGTATGAAACATCTGATCAACAACAAACTCGTCGATTGTGATTTGAAAGGGTGACTAAAACCAAAAAGAATCACTATGCAACGACGAGAAAACACAAAATAATACTCCATGAGGTTAAAACGAATGTAACTGTGCCGCGCTCTGCCGCGATCGGCATGCTCTAGTTCAAATTCAAACTCGTCCACTAGGTGTCTAGTGGGGGGAGGACGACTATAGCTATCTCGAAACCATTCAAATACCTGTGTTTTTATATCGTTGTTACTGCTCAACTTTCTTCTTTACACAGCAGAATTTCATCAAAAATAGTTTCTTCTAGGGGAACATGCAGTTGTTTTTCCTTATGCGAATTAAATAATGCGAAAATGTTGGGTTACGGTAACACGCTAAGTCTGCCCCACTACGTGAATCATAAGAGAAGGAAGCAAGAATGTATAAGTTGAGTAGCTTGAACCTCGTAGTTTACATTAAAGTGATTTAAACCTGATTGGTCATCTCTAATCTGAATTATTGAAGGCGAAAAATGGAACAAACAAGATTTTGGCTTGCTCTCAATTCTTTAATTTGGAGGTTATTTGAAGTAGGATTCCTAGAGTAAGCAAAGTCCTAGAGTAAGCAAAGAAGTGGCAGTTCTTTGTATTAAGTGCAAAAACAGGTAGACTCATGTTTGAAACAAAGTCAACATGATCGAAAGTGACCATCTCACTTGGGTGGCCCGGCCCAAGATTTGAGGAAACCTCAAAATTCGCTAAAACTTGGCTCACAGAGGTTATTTGACATGCTAGTTACGAAAACGAAACATCAGTGTGCTAGTATTTGGCCTAAGACCTATATGACATTGTTAACGAATATCATGTTATCGCTAACATCAAAATCACCTTAAAGGCAGTGTCCAGGCAAATCTGAGAATATGGGTTTTTGCGTGGAAACTGATGAGGGGGTTCCAGCCAAGACACTGCCCAAACCGCAGCGATTATTATTCACAGCTAAGAAATCCGTCCCCAAACACTCCGCGGTGCGCCGTGACCGTAAGGCCTCGGACATACCTCACGCATTTCAGTCGCGACGCGATTTGGCAATACTCCAAATGTTCATAACTCATCGTACGGGGTTTCCGAATGTACAGAAGATGGGGCATTTTATCAACCTACGAAACTTATACATACTGTGCATTTGGAGTCTACCAGTATTGTATTTGAGAACATCTGGCAAAGTGCTAGATCGCGTGGCGACTGAAATTGCGTGAGGTATGTCCCTTGCCTAACACTTAGCATGGGTCGCACGCAAACGTAATGTTAAAGGTGAGCAAAGTCGTTTTCGGGTTACGCTCACGGCGCCGGCGCGAGGTTTTCGGGGACAGATTTCTCAGCCGTGAGAGAACTATTTGCGCTGTCCCTTGGATAGCGCCTTAATTATGACCCCCTCATCAATTTACAGGCGAAAAACCCATCCGGCCAGATTTACCTGGACACTGGCTTTAATAACGACCCCCCCCCACGTCCCCTCTCTCTGACCTCTCAATACGACCTCCCAGGTGTGGCGTGCCGCACCCCATGCCTGACCTGGTAAGTACGCTCTGCAGATAGCCCGGCAAAAAATGTTAAATATGGTGCTAAAGGTCGAAAGTTGCTTTTGAATTATGCAAAGCTCTCACTGTTAATACAGACCACACGAACGTAGGTAAAGACTAGTCCTAACCGACAAAGGCGTCGGTGTTTATTTGCGAAGCAAGTAGGAACATCGCATTCAAGCACCTTCCAGTGCTGGTACCTCTTACACGCGTTACATACCTTTTTGGGACCAGCCCCCCCCCACCTTCCAGCATCCGCGTTACATGCGGATAAGTTTAATGAAGTGCTTCACACGCTTGCTATAAGCGCATAAAATACATTATTTTATAAGGGGAAAAATTTACTCGTCCACAGCACAAGTTATGATATCAAAAACAGCGTGCAACTGCGGGCTAATAGAATCAGGTTAAGTTATAGAAAATTCAAGAGTTGGAGAATTATGTTAATGAACGTACAAAAGTCATAGCTTGCGATAGATGAGCACGCAGAAAAGAGATGGTCTAATTAATTCGTTAGTCTTAATCTAACCTAATTAATTCGTTAGTCTTAATCTAACTATCTTGTTCTCTTGTTATGCATCTTAACAGCCGAAGATCAGCGTACGATCTCGCATAAAGAGAAACAGTCAAACTATCTTGCTAGTTTTGTTACGCATATCACCAGCCGAACTTGCCGCGTAGCGGCAGAAAACGGCTGGTGTATATCAAACTTTTTAGATTACATTACTCCTTCTGTCTTTTTTGAGCGAACATAAAAAAATTTTTTTAAACGAAAACTGCAAAAAACCAATAAATCGATAGGCTCAATCCGTGCGTCTCAAATGAAATGGGTTGTTATTTGATTTAAATTCCATTACCCTTTCTCCTTTTTAGGATGATAAAAGAAGCGGCTAAGCCAAATGTACCCTACACGTGAGTCACGTGTAGGGTACAGGTACACCTGCTACTCAAATAACGATAGATACATATCAATACACAAGCTGTGACTCATTCCCAGATCCTTACCCATGTTTTCTCCTTTCCCCTTCCACTGCCAACTTGATCCCATGCTTCATGTTCACTATATCGCGTTATATAACCAAGAAGCCTACCAAAATGGCGTCAAGGAGCCTTTACTTTACTCCGGTTAAGAGGTATCGTTTTCATATCTTAGTCTCAATAA